AAGGAGGGGAGGGAGGGAGGGAGGGAGGGAGGAAGGAAGGAAGGAAGGAAGGAAGGAAGGAAGGAAGGAAGGAAGGCTGACTAATGAAAGATAGGATACTACGGCAGGTTAGGAACCACATAATAAGAAAGTCTTAAGAGACCAAACACTGACTGAGGAGTTCTACATAACGCTAAAACAAATAAAAAGGTTCTAAAAGGAATGACTGGAAGTAAATGTCAGGTTGATGTGCCAGTGAGTCCAAAAAGAAAGCATGTACAACATTTGCATAGTACTTCATAGTTTTAAAGTTTGTCTCCATACATATGTGGGTTTAATGGAGGGAGCAAAGGAGATTAACTCATTTTAATTTTTAAAGTAATATCTAGACAAAATTTCAGAAGTCCAATTGTACTATCAAAGTTTATAAGCAAAAGTGGCAGTCAGCATCTTCTCCCACACTTTGAAACTCATTCCCCCAAACTAAATCTTGAAATTATCTATATTGATGCTTCTAGGATTCACCTCATATTACTATTCCCTAATCTTTCCATTTCAGGTGCTATCTGTTGACTTCTTCCTCTAGAAGATGACATTTTAGTACTCTTACTTCATTACCCACCTGGACTCCTCACACACACATTTCTCTCTCTCCTCCCTCAATATATATAGTTCCATCACAAGTTTCACTATCAGTGGCATGTACTTAGATTATTACAATTTGGTAAATACTGTTTGCAGCTAAGTTACACATTTGCTAGAATTACATCTAACCACACCTCATTTCTTGTTTCTTGTGGAATTAATGATTCCTTCAGCAATTAGGAATTTATTACAAAACTCTCCAGTAGATCACCTATGATCAAACATCATGAAACAACAATTAAGAGTTTTTTTCTTTATCTTTGTCATTATGTTATGTCATTATTTCTTTATATTTGTCATTATGGAGACATCTGCATTCTTGCCCTAATCTGGACTTCACCTGATAGATCTCTCCTAGTACACTGTCCACTCTCAACTTAGAAATTTCTTTGAGCCTCTCTCTTATGTTGAAATGAATTTCTGTCTCCTTGATTCTATGACTTCCTCTTTTTCAGTTTACGTCCTCATTTTGATTGAACATATTCTTCAGGTGCTTTCTGAGAAAAGGGAGACTGGGAGGTAACTTAACTTACATGCCTTTAAATTTCATTATTCTATGCTTATCTTTCATTACTAGTTTTGCTGAATATACAATTCTCATTGGTAATTTCCTTCATCATACGTCAGCATTGCTCAAGTGTCCTGTGGTTCAGAGGTCAAGTGCCACTGAAAATCATGAACCTATTGCCTGTGTAAACGACCAGTTGTTTCTTTTTGAAACAGAATCTAAGTTTACCCTTGGGCACTCTGAAACTTCACAATCATGTGCCCTGGCATTACTTTTATTCAGTTGTTCTAATGTACAACGTCTTAACCCATTAAATCTGAAAACTCATGTTCATTAGCTCTAAGAAATATTTTTAATTACTTCTTTTAAAATTCCCTGCATGCATTTTCTCTTTCTGGAGCACCCACCAATTGGTTTTTGGATTTCCAGACTGATCTTTTAATTTTTGGCTTGTTCTGTTTTTTCTTTTTTTTGGTACCGGGGCTTGAACTCAGGACCAACATTTTGCAGGGGGGGGGTGGGGGGGTTACCAGAGTTCGAACTCGGGACCTTGCACTTGGCAAGGCAGGCGGTGGAACTACTGAGATAAATCCCCGGCCCCTCACCTGACTTTCTATGTGGACAATATCATCTTGTTTCACAGAAGCATATTTATTCTTTTCCATACATAATGTATTAACTATACAGTAGTTATGACAATAGTTATCACTAATAAAATTAATAACTGCATCTGATATTACTGAATGCATTTATCATGGGCCATACATTGTGTGAAGCATTTTGCAATGGATTATCTCAATCCTCACAACAATTCTGTGGGGTAGGTATAATTATTTACCTCAACTTCATAGACAAAGATACTGAAGTTCTGATAAATTATGCTGTCCAAGTTTACACAGCTACAGGCCAGAGCAGCACTGTGAACACCATAAGCACAATTTAAAAGAGAAGTTATTAAGCCCTTTCTCAATACTGCCACTCTAAAATGGAGTTTAGTGAAAAACAGAGTTACAAATAAAATAACCTACATTGGTTAAGTGAAATTTTTGCAAATGTCCTTGTACCTCCTCAAGGTTCTTTCAGTTCTTAAATTCTATGCTATATCAAACATACTTCTAGAAATAAACTAGTAAATTATTGGGTTAGTGTGTGTGGTAAAGAGGAAAACAGTAAAGACCAAGTTGCTTTCTGACATTTTTGGCTGCTACATATACGGCAAAATGTCTGGTACCTCAAACAGGTAATTTGCTCATATCAGAGAAAGTAGTCAGATAAGTACCAACCATTTCCATTATTAGAAAAACAATTTAAATTATACATTTTACTCATTGTGATATTTTATGTCATTTTTGCACAAAGAAGAATAAACTTATTTTAAACTATACCACCATCATTAATTTATTGATTTCCACAGGTAGACAGTAGATTCTATATTGCAGAAAGTGTGAAATAAGGGCTTATTTTCAAAAGGACTAGCACTTTATATTAGTATTTGTTTTGAAAAATTTCAACAAGCAACAGCAACAAAGTCAGAATACAGGATTTTGTCTTTTACCTTTGAATGACAATTTTTTCAGTTTCACTACATAATGCTTTTGTAATTCATAGTGGAACCCTTTCCCTTTGACCTACTTTTTACTGTTTATGAGCTGAGCTTCAAAGCTTTTTGTAAAACAGATCCTACAACTGTTCTTAGCTAAATAAAATATTTTGATATATAAAAATGGCTGCAATTATGAGCTAAACTCTACAACTGGAATGTGAATTTTCTACCATACAACTCAGAGGGAAAAAATAACAAGCTGTAGTACCCAAAGCCCTTTTGCTATGTACCTTTTAACACAAGTTTCCAGCCTTCTTAGCAAGTCTATTCTGCTGCATATGGCACAAATAAGATCTTGTTAGGTCATAAAATTTATGACATCTGGCATCACTTTGGGATACAAAAGGTACCATATTCACCTTGACCAAAATAGATTAGCTGTGCCCTTTCTGGGAGTCATCACAGCAATTCAAGGCATGCAGAAGAGGCCCTTTAAAATCAGCCATGTGCACACTGTAGAGAAGGCCAACGTACTAAATTAAAATAAAACAGCACCACTCTAATGGTGCTATTCTATAAATGATAGAGCTTTTGAGCTTACTATTGGACATGCCAACTCAGATATGCAGTATAATGTTTCCCTCACATACTGACATTTAATCCTTAGAATAATGTGAGGTAAGTTGGAATTGCTATGTGGTTTTTACAAGTGAGTAAATTACATGGCTTAGAAAAACAAATTGTCCAAGTTCAAAAATATAAAATCTGCTAGGGCCAGATCTTGCCTTCAGGTCCCCTGACTGGCTATTTAATGTTCTTTCTAACAAAATAAAATTATTAAACTGTGTTCCATCCTGGCAGATTATACCATTGGATACTGGTTCCCTGTTTATGGTATTAGTACCAAAAAAAAAAAGAATTAGAGTGGTAGCTCTCCAACTTCAGCGTCAGTTGGAAGACTTGTTAAAAACCAGATTAGTGGGCCGGGGATTTAGCTCAGTGGTGCCGCCACCCGCCTCGCAAGCACAAGGTCCCGAGTTCCATCCCCAGTACCAAAAAAAAAACAAAAAACCAAAAAAACCCCAAAAAAACCTAGATTACTTGACCCCAACTATAAAATTCTGTATAAGTAGGCCAAGATTTTATATGTCTATTATTCCCAGATAATACCAATGATGCTTGTGTGTGGCCATAATTTAAGAACAAATAGCCATCTGGAGCAGGGACAATCACAAATAACAAGTTACAAAATTAAGACAATTTATTAAATCACTAGTAGAGGTTCTAAATTACACAAGTGTCACTGTCTCACATGCTAGGTATTTTCTTACAGTGAAGGTTGGGTTGGGCCTCGACATCTGCACAAATTTTGGAAAAGTCCATAAATGCTGCTGTTCACAGGACTAAGACTGAAGAGACAAATGGGCAGATTCGATTAGATCCACAGGAGTGCTCATTTCTATGAAATTAGTTCTTTGCTAAAATAAAAGTGGTCATTCTCTTTAGTAAGGCTATTATTTTTTAAAAAAGAAAATTGCAAATATTGTCAAGAATATAGATAAAATGGAATCTTCATGGATTGCTGGTGGGAATGAAAAAAATGATGCATCTAGCAAAGGACACAACCAGCAGAGTGAAGAAACAACATATAGAATGGGGAAAAAATTTTGCCAACTACTCCTCAGGCAGAGAACTGGTATCTATAATATATGAAGAACTCAAAAAATTAAGACTCCCCAAAATTAAAGACCCAATAAGAAATGGGTAACTAAAATGAATGACACTGCTAAGAAAAAGTACAAATGGCCAATAAATACATGAAAAAAATGTTCAACATATCTGGCCACTAGAGAAATGCAAATTAAAACAATCCTGAGATTTCCGTTTACACCAGAAAGAATGGATATCATCAAAAAAATAAATAATAACAAATGCTTGTAAGGCTGTGGGGAAAAAGGAACCCTTCCACATGGTTAATGAAAATGTAAACTAGTAACAACTATTATGGAAATCAGTATAGGGATTCCTCAAAAAACTAAAACTAGAAATTCCATTCGGCCCAGCTATTCCCATTCTAGTTATCTTCGTGAAAGAGTTAAAGATATCCTATTACAGTGATACCTGCACACCCATATTTATAGCCGCACGATTCATAAAAGCTAAATCTTGAAAGCGGCCTATATGTTCATCGACAGATGAAGAGATAAACAAAATGTGGCATTTATAAACAAAGGAGTATTGGTCTGTCAAAAGGATAAATGTGTGTCATTTGTAGGAAAATGGATACACCTTGAGACCATAATGTTAAGTGAAATAAATCAGACACACAAGCTTAAATAACACATGGTTTCTCTTATATGAAAAACCCAAAATATAAATAAAGAACAAAATAAAAGATAATAAGAAAAAGGGAGACGATCTTTTGCAAAAGGGAAGAGGTCCAAGAGACAGAAGGGGAAGGAGGAGGGAAAGGGATGAAAAAAAGAATTAAGATTTGTTGTGCGCATGTACCAACTCCACATGAGAAGTGTAATTATCATATACTGTAAATATGTACCAATAAAAAGATAAAAGCTTTTTAAAAAGTTGCATCCTCTATGAAAATCAACATGATTTCTTTCCCAAATAAGATATTCTCAAAATAAAAATACAGTTACCATGTATTTCAACAAATTCCACTTCTGGGTACATGCTCAAAAGAACTGAAAGCAAGGACTCATATATTTGTAACCCATATTCATGATAATATTATTCACAGCAGCTAGAGGTGGAAGCATCCCAAGAATACTCTGATAGAAAACTGAATAAACAAAATGTGGTACATACATATGCAGAATATTATTTGGCATTAAAAATTCTGAAACATGCTACAACCTTGAAGATATTATGCTAAATGAAGTAAGCTAGTCACAAAAGGTCAAATATTGTATGATTTTACTTATAATGAGATTCCCAGAGAAGTCAAATTCATAAACACAGAAGGCAGAATGAATGGTAGTTGCTAGGAACTGGGGGTGGGGGATAAAGAATAAAGAGTTAGTATTAAATGTTTGGGAAGATGAAAAATGCTCTGAAGATGGGATAGTGTTAATGGCTGAACAACAATATGAACATAGTTACTGCCACTGAACTCTACCTTTAAAAAAGTTAAAATGAAAAGTTTTATATTAGTGTATGTGTATTTTACCAAAATAAAAAAGAAAATAGCTACAGATGTAGCTCACTGGGAGACCACTTGCCTAGCATGTACAAGGTCCTGTGTTCAATCTCCAGCACTGCCAATCAATCAATCAGTATACTGACAAGGCCTTAATTCTCTTTTTCTTCAGATCTACCCTCTGAATCTTCTCTGGAGATTGTGTTAACTGAGGGTGTGACCTGCATTTCATGAAGGACAAGTAGAAATGAATGTTTTACTAGCTTGAGTCAGTGCTTTACATAGCCATCTACTCCTTTTTTTTTTTTTTTTAGTTTAACAGTTAAAAAATACTCTCCTCCACTTCTGAGAAGACAGGATACCATTCTTTTATATCCAAACATGTATTTCTTTGACAATATACATCATTAATTTATAGCCTATGACTTTTAGCTTTTGTAATGAAGAGCTTCCCAACCTTTCAAACCCTAGCCTGTCTATAATAACATATTTTAAAATTCTGGGTTCTGCCAAGGATTTAGCTCAGTGGTTCCGGCGCCTGCCTCGCAAGCGCAAGGTCCCAAGCTCGATCCCTGGTACCAAAAAAAAAAAAAAGTAAAAATTCTGGGTTCTCACAAAGATTTTTTTAAAAGACCTTGATTTTGTACCTTTTGAATATATTTTTATAATGACAAGATAATTTTTAATTTATTTGATTTGTATAAGACTGTTGTCTTTGTTTCCATGAAACAAGTAAGCACTTTTGCTTCAGAGAATCATAGCCAGTTCTTTATTTTAATGAACTTACTTTAAATTGGGTAAAAAAAGGTAAAGCTGGATTCTAACCAGGTGTGGTAGTTAAGGTGGAGTTTCCGCTTGACTGGCTTTGGGATCCAACCCAGGGGATTGATGAAACACACTTCTAGGTGTATTTGGGTGGGTCAAGGAAGCACTGCCTTGGGATTCTATGTCTGGTCACCCCCCCCACTCCCTCTCTGGCACTGTTCCCCTGCTCTGCTTCCCAGCCACCATGAACTAAGCAGGTTTGCTCAATTATGAGCATCTGCCATGATGTTTATGCCTTGTAGCCTACCAACCATGTAGTCAATCTCCTGAATTTATGAACTAAATTAAACTTTTCCTCCTTTAAACTGTGGATATGGGGTATTATATCTCATTGAAAGGAAAGTGAACTAATAAAGCAGGCATTCTGGCATACAACAGTGTTCCTCAGTGATTTTTTCTGTTTGTTTAGGAACGGACTTTTGTTCATTTTTGGACTTAGAAAGGAAGCAAACAAAGAGAAATGGAAGGCAGGTGAAAGGTAGGGTACTAATTTATAAATTTTGAAGGAAAAGGGCATGAAAATTTTATGAACAGCTGCATTAACATACTGCTGATGAATCTCCCAGGTATTCTTATCTGAGAGTCTGTTTTCTACTGATATAACAATGGCATTCGCAAAATTCTAGCAAAGAAATAAAAACACCACAACACCAAGTCCTTAATGCTCTATTGAACGAACATGGAAAAATTCAAAATGTATTCAATTATCTGAATAAACATGTTCTCATAATGTTGTTAATGCTCAACAGCCCTAAATACATTCTTTAAAATGAGAGTTAAATTGTTTCAGAGCCTCTCTCAAACTCTTATGAATTTATATCACCTCTTTAAAGGCACTTAAAGATTCCTTGAAAAATATAATTATAGACTAAAAGTGAAATTTTCTTTCTATAGTAAGAAGGCCAAGAAAGTTTTTTTAAAAAGTCATTAAGAGCATCTCTAAGAGCATCTTTGGGGGGGGGGGGGGTACCGGGGATCGAACTCAGGACCTTGCACTTGCAAGGAAGGTGGCAGAACCACTGAGCTAAATCCCCAGTCCCTAAGGGCATCTTTTGAAACTACTGAAGAGTTAAAACACCTACCACCAAACCAGTCTGATTACCTGGTATATACATGAAATGTATTGTGTAAAGAAAAGGCAATTATCGACAGTACAATGGTGGTATTTCTGACCCAATGACAGTCTGAAGTATGGATTGATATGAACAACAACCAAATAAAACCACCCGAAGGGACTGTGTAAAGTATGTATGACAAACAAGTTTACAAGAAATGATTTTGCTTTGCTTTTCTTCTGAAAATAATCTCTAATGTAAAGTTATCAGTACAGATTTTCGAAGACTATGAATAATTTGAATAAAGAAAATAAGGTTTCAACATCTTGAAATATTTTAGTGTGCATTTTCTATAATCAAGGACTTTCTCTAACATATTACTTATGATCAAAATATACAGTGACTGCTTAACTAAAAATTTTTTAAAACTTACTACAATAAAAGACATGTTGCCATTAATCCCCCTCAAAACACTCCACCTGGCTTTGAACACACTTATCCCATCATTCTTGCCACTTTCTGAAGCAATTCTGGACATTTGTGAGCACCTTTTTATGGATGCTTCAATGTCCTGTATCAATTTGAAATGTTTACAGCAATTTCTGTCAAACAGAAGGATAATGGTATTCACCTTATACACCAAATCTAGCACCATATAACTTTGGGCTTTTCCCCAACATAAAAACGACCACAAAAAGTAAACATTTTGATTCGATTCAAGACATTGAGGCACCCATAACAGCACAACTAAAGACACTCATGAAAAAGGACTTCCAGAACTGCTTCAGAAAGTGACAAAGATATGAGATATGTGTGTTCAAGGTAAGGGGGAATATTCTAATAAGGATTAATGGCAAGTGACTTTTGGTATAATAATTTTTTAATTAAACATTCACCGTATTTTTTTCTCAACTGCTCAACTTCATATATCAGAGAAAATAAATTTAGAAAAGGAATCTTATTTTGAGAGATTATCTTAAATAGTATTAACTAAATTAAAGTTACCTTAGAAGGTTTTTTAAAGGAAATCTTCAATGAAGCAGCTGAGAATGAAGCAAAACAGAAAACAGAAGCATGTTTAGCTTAAAAATTCTCATTTTAATCTTACCCTTGAGAAGATATTTTCCAGGGAGCTAGTTAAGGATCTCTTTGCTTTATTTTTCAGAATGTCAAGTTTGAACCTTCCACTGCTTGTAGCATTTTCTGGGACTGCACTGTTTGAAATAGTCTAGAGAAAGAAAAATAAGAGTAATTTTATTTTGGACAAATTGAAGGTTAAATGAGGCTTAAAACTAAACCATTAAAAAACACAAGAATTCTTCAGTAGCTCTATTAAGAAGTAATAATTTAGGTTCCACTCTGTGGACACAAAGATTGCAATGTTTAACACTTAATATTATAAGTAATAAAAAGACAAAAATAAGATCTTTTCTTTCCACTAAAATATTCCTCCTTCATTTAACAAAAATCAAACTTGAGATGTCAATTTTCCCCCGTTTGGTTATTAACTACCACCATCCCTTTCCAAGGTGTTTGTTTTATATCTAAATTACCAAAAAAAAAAATCCAAAGGAAATAAGTTTCAAAGAGCAAAGCACTTTGCACACACAAAAAAACTGGATTCTAGTAATGCCTCTGTCATAATTCCATTTTTGTTTTGTTTTGTTTTCTGGAGGCAAAGACTCATTACATAATTCAGGCTGGCACTGAACACATGGCAATCCTCCCACCTCAGCCTTCTGAGTGCTGGGATACAGGCGCACACCACCATGCCCAGCTCATAACACCATTTTCATTTGTGAGAAGGTGATTTATTCTCTACATTAATAAGTTTTCATTGATAGTACTAAGCCATAGTAGAGTCTGTGAAGCATCCATTACATTAGGTTCTCTTTATCCTACTGAAGGGAGCAGCTCCTATGAGCTCAAAAACTTTCAAGAGATAACTCTTATAATTTGCTAAGAGAGAGCACAACAACATAACAAATATTGAATAGGTAAGCATGAATATTGACGACAGATCTCAGTGGTAAGAGGAAAGGATACACAGGATTCAGACAGGCAGAAGAAAAGAGACAAAGACTTCCCCAGAATGGGAGTTGGTTGTTGGCAAAATCATAACTAGATTTGTTTAAAGGACAGAGCCAGTGGGTAAAATCAATGGCAACAGTGGAAGACAACAAGAGAAACTGCAGCTGGAGGAAAAACCCTGAATGGTCTTATGTGTTGAGTAAATAGGAAGAATGCTGACCTGCACTTATAAGGACAGAAGCAACCCTGTCAAAATCGTGCTTTAGGGAAATTTATCTTAAGGGAGTGTTCAAAAACACCTAAAGATCAGGGAAATCAGAGACTGAAAGATCAAACCAGATGAGTGGCTTTGGCACAGTCCAAACAAGAGGCAATAAAGGCCCACACCAGTGCCAGCTCTGTCAAATCATTCAAGAAGTTACTGATGCAAGACATATAGTGATATAAAGACCTAACAGGAATTAGTGTTCCAAAACGGTTAGCTTACTGTGATCTCCTTCAGTTCTGTTGTATTTGTCTTGGTTTAACTCTGTGCAAAAGGGAATAAACTCTAGACCATGTGCACACAAATGCCAACCTTTAGTTTGCAGGGAGGGCACATGTACTACCACTGCTTCCTCCTCATTTTCATCATCTGGGCCATCTAAGCTTTCGATTTCACGTGAATTCGAAAAAAACAAGTAATGGACTAACATAACTAAACATGCATGGTCATTCTACATCATGAACACATATGACTGCTTCTTTTAAGCAAAACCATAAATTCACTCATATTTTAAAACTATTATTTTGTCAATGTGCCAGTGCCTGCCACCATTTCCTATAAAGCTCCTAAAATGCTGGGCTGGGAGAGGAGGAAGGATCTGATAGGACACTAGCCCTGAAGGAGAAATGCCTTTCCTATTTTAGACAGACACATATATTCGTAACAAAAGTAGGTCAGGGAGAAAATATCCTCTCACCAATGGGCCGTCCCCAATATGTACATGTGTCTTCTGCTTGGCTTCACACAGCTGCCTCAGGTGTAAAATCACAAGTTCATTTTCTTCCTGGTCACTGATTGGCTTCATTTTCTGTTGAACAGACAAACCCAAGAGTGCACTGTGGCAACACAGCTCCTCTCACTTTATTCTCACTTAGTTTTATCTGTTTGGCAGATAAACATAGATATAACAATGGCTTTCTAGTTCAACCATATAGTCCCAGAGGACATATAACTTTAACTTCAGACAGAGGAATGAAAAAGGGAATTCACAGCAACAGGATCTCTCATTCCTTATATTTTATTAATGAGAACTACAAATAATGGTACCTGAACTCGTTCAAAGATGTCAGCTTGCTCATTATCTGTCAGTGATGAGAGATGCCTCTGTATTACGAGCTTGGCTCTTGGCGGGTAGAGACCTAAGAAAAGGATGAGGGAAACCATGAAGTAGAGACATCATAGTACTATGCCCTTGCCAGCAGGCTCCTGAATGTTAATAACCTCAAGGAGATGTGTCCCTGTCTATAATGAACCTCACAGCGCAACACAGAGATAACGAAGAGAAACCTCTCTACCAAATCAACAGCCCCTTAAACACTCATGGAGTTAAAATTACTAACAATTTCTAAATGATATCATGCACAACTAGGTATGACTTAACACCTCAACAAGCATAGCCACCAAAGATCCTCATAGGTGAATTAACATTATCCTAGGATCTGGCCTAGAAACAAAAGCCAAAATATCTAAGCTTACAACTTGATGTTTAAGTAATAAAAAATAATTAATAAAATAGAGGGCAGGACTACAGATGAGAAAATGACCTTTCTCCCCTTTGTGGCTCTTGAACTGTGGAAATAAAAGTATGGCATCAGTATTAAATGCACTTTTAATGCCACTGTTTTACAAAGAAATTGTTAGCTTCTTTACAGTGTGCAATTTATAGTTCCTTCATATTTTTATACTCAATCTGTATTAAGTCCTTTGGGGGAAATTTTCCATGAATACATTTCTGATTTTATTTTTTTAAAGAGAAAGTTTAATTTACGGTTACAATAATTCAAGTGATCATTCATTTTTAAGAATAGATCTTTCAACACATAGTTAAGTGCAACTTATAGTATTACTACTGTATTTTGATATAAAGAGCATATCTAGCTATACATAATATTTAATAAATCTTATCAGTGAGGGGCTGGGGATGTACCTTGCACATGCTAAGACTTGGGATTGATTCCTAGTACCACAAAAACAAAATGAAACAAAAAAGCCCTTATAGATGAACTGGCATTTTTAAGTCATCTGCTATTACAAGCCTATCTTTCACAACTGCAGTGAAATACATTATAAGATGTTAAGCCATAATTTGAATATTTTTCATGTATTCATTAGTTCTATTTACAAAGTGTAATGCAAAGTGACTAAAAATATTATTTATTTTGCTAAGTTGTATCATATAATTTACAAATAATATCATAGTCTGTAAGTATATTGCTCAATTTTCTAACTATTTCAAGAATATAAGTGGTGACTGCTAATTAAAATAAAATGAAGTGTTCGTATTTAGCTACGTTTTAAGGTAAAAAATTATTTAGAGCTCTACAGGCACTATAGGCACTTTAAACTACCCATTGTTTTAAAAGAAGCAGAATTTCCACTACAACTGCCAGATACATGCAGAATTGGCCTATTGTAAAGGCAATACTGCTACCCCTGTTCTAGGTCACTGTATCATATGGAATTTAGTTACATTCCATACTTCAAACAGTGTCTGAAAAACCTCTCAACTCCATCTTTGTGCAACATATAGCAAAACTCTGTGAAAATCTCTGCAATCACATATGGAAAACAAAAATGCATTTTGATGGTAGTATACTACTCGTGATCCTAGCTTAGTATTTTCTGGAAAACTCTACCAAAACAAGCATAACACTGGGTTTCACAAACACAGCCCTTACTTTTCTACTGTAAATTTTTACTTTATCATAATAGTAGCTGGCTGTGTGTCTCAGTATCTTTCCCTGAGGGATAGAGGAAGTAATCCTTATGTTTACCCAGTTGGTATGACAAATGGAAAGGTGTATGCACCTGTGCAAAAGTGTCAAACTGGAATTTTCACTGACATTTTCCTCCGCCTAACAGGTTTTCCATATGTTTACCTAAGCATCACACAGGGTATATAATACACACTAACCACTCTAGGATTTGTTTTTTCAAAGTTTTCTTTTAATTTTTCTGGTAGAAGTAGCCCAATTCAGTTCAATGACACGTGGAAAACCAAATTTACAAGTTTTGGAGCGGGTAAAAAATGAATCATCAATTTACTCATGCATGGATGAAGATGATCCATTACAGTAACATACATGTTTTCATAACAGAAGAGTAGTGTGCATGGATGATGATGACTTTGACATTGGCCATGTGAACCAAAGTACCTGTGACAGTGAAATGGAGCAAGAATCGACTGATACAGACACAGGGAATGCAGACCTCTTTGGATTCAGATGACAAAAGAAAAAGCAATGTGAGTGTATATTTGACTAGTTGAAATGTTAAAAAATGGTCACACAACCAAATGGAATGATCCAATGTTAGAACTAGGTCCAAAAATATAGTGAGGACCCCTTGCCAGGGGTGAAATCTATTGGACAGAATGCCAGCACTCCCATTCAATGTTAGAAATTGTTAACAGATGAAATGCTACAAGATGTAAAATACACAAAGACTGAAACACAAGTAAAACATTCTGTATACACCAATAGCCATACTCAGAAATGTATTTATTATGATACTCACTAGCTGAACTGAAAGCATTCACAGGTCTGCTGTACTTAGCAGGGCTTTCTCATGGTAACTGAAGGAATGTAAACTAAATGACTTATGGAAGAGCAATGGGTGTGGGCTTGAGGTCTGTAGAATAACAACAACACTGAAGGGATTTGGTTTCCTTCAAAATTGAAGTTTGATGACAAAACTACCCCCTAAAAAAGAAAAAAACTGATAATCTGGCTGCTACCCAGTCACTGTTTGATAGATTTGTGAGTAATTGCCAAGCAATTTACACACCATCTGAATACATGACTATTGATGAACATCTTGCAGAATTTCATGGCTGCTGTAACTTCAGGGAGTGCATGGCAAAAAAACCCTTCAAAATATGGCATAAAAACTTATGCCCTTGTAGATGCAAAGACTTACTATGCTTTCAATTTAGAAATTTCTCCTGGAACTCTGCTACTAGGTCCTTATTTATATACTAATACAGTGAATGATGCCATGAACAGGCTTGTTGCTCCCACCTCCCAAACTAATTAGAATGCAATATTTGACAATTGGTTCACCAGTTTCTAATAGATATTATGGTTTCTCACAGAGCACAAGTTGACCAGTGTAGGAACTGTACACAGGAACAAAGCAGAAATTACAAATGAAGTACTGCAATTTCAAATCAGAGAACTATATAGTACAATCTTTGGATTTCAGAAAGATTTACATTGGCCTCATATATTGCAAAGAAAAACAAACAGGTAATGCTGATGTCAACATTGCACCATGATGAAAATATTGATAGGGAAACCTCAACAAAATGGAAGTCTGAGATGGAAACTTTCTACAACAAAACCAAAGACAGAGTAGTTGTTGTTGATGAGTTATGCAGCAACTATGATGTCACTTGAAACACAAAGCATTGGCCAATGGTTATGTTTTACTCAATCCTAAACATGTGTGGCATAAATAATTTGATAGTTTAAAAAGAAAATAACAAGTGCAAAATACCATGGAGAAATTTTCTTACTGGGACTGGAACTCATAAGAGATCATTTACGGCAGAGAAAAAAAAAATGTTTGTATTCAAGAAACTACACCAAAAAATTGTGGAACACACTGGTGAGAGGACAGGTGAACAAGCAGGCCCAGCAATCCAAAGACCTACTATGACAATAGGAAAACCAAAAAGATGTGAACTGTTCCCTGCAAGAAAGGACAGGAAGACAAAATGTACATGCAATCAGTATAAGCATTACTTGGGTATGGAACATGAAATTTTCATGTATGAAGACTGCCTTGGGGATATGAAGGTGATCTGGCTGGAACATCTGTCACCCCATTGACTGCCAGGGTTGATACAGCTAATGTGGCTGGCTAAACAGTTGTCCCCTTCTCCTTCACCACTCCATGTGTGTCCCTCCTGAAGCTGCACGCTCAGTGGAAAAGGACGACCACCTCCAATAGAGGAGGACCATTTCCTTGGTCAAGGGTATACAAGGAGATGTGCTCCCCTGCTAGAACCTCCAAATGAGCTCGCAAGACCGCCTTCCGTGTGACAATTGAAGCAAAGGTTATTTCTGTTGTACAGTTCTATTGGTATTTTCATTGTAGTTCATGTAGGTTTTTATTTATGATGTTATCTTTTAGGTTTTGTAAGCAAGTAAAAACTGATGTGCAAATGTTGATGTTTATTCTAAATGTGCAATACATATTAAGAATTTAATATTTTGTTTTAAAACCCCAACAGTATATTTCACAGATCTAGAGAAAACAATCCAAAAATTCATTTGGAACCAGAAGAGACCTAGAATAGCAAAAGCAATTTGAGGCAACAGAGACATAAGAGGGGGTATCACAAACCCCAACTTGAAACTATACTACAAAGCCACTGTGATAAAAACAGCATGGTACTGGCAAAGAAACAGACCCGAGAATCAGTGGAATAGATAAGAAGATACAGAAACAACTCCAGACATACTCAGCTACCTCATCTTTGACAATGGAGCCAACCATCCTCACTTGAGGAAAGACAGCCTCTTTAATAAATGGTGTTGGAAAAACTGGATTTCAACTTGCCAAAGATTAAAACTAGACCCCTATCTTTCACCATGCACTAAACTAAAATCGAAATAAATTAAAGATCTAAATATTAAAACAGAAACACTAAACTTGCTGGAAGATAAGTTAGGTAGATCTCTTGAAGATATTGGCATAGGAAAAATCTTTATGAACAAACCCTCAGTAGCAAGGGAACTAGCACAAAGGATCAACAATTGGGATCTCATCTTATTAAAAAGCTTCTGCACTGCAAGAGAAACCACCAACAGAGATAAGAGACATCCTACAATGTGGGAAAAAAAATTTTACCAGCTGTTCCTCAGACAAAGGTCTACTATCTAGAATATATAAAGAATTGAAAAAAAATCAGACCCCCCCCGCCAAAATATAAAGACCCAATTCAAAAATGGGCATCTGAAATGAACAGACATTTCTCAGACAAAGAAGTAAAAGCAGCAAATAAATATATGAAAAAATGTTCAACATCACCAGTCATTCAAGAGATGGAGATGAAAACAACACTGAGATTCCACCTCACCCCAGTAAGAATGGCTGCTGTCAAGAAATCAACCAATACTGGCAGGGTTGTGGAGAGAAAGGAACCCTTCTTTATTGTTGGTGGGAGTGCAGACTGGTGCCCACTGTGGAAATCAATATGGAGATACCCCAAACAACTAGGATTAGAAGTCCCATTTGACCCAGCTATTTTTCTTCTGGGTATCTTCCCAAAAGAATTAAAAGAATCATACCACAGTGATGTATGCTCACCTATGTTTATAGCAGCACAGTTTGTAATAGCTAAAACTTCAAAACAGCCCAAATGCCCATCAACTGGAGAGTGGAAAAAGAAGATGTGGTTTTTCTATAAAATGGAGTGCTACTCAGCCATAAAGAACGAGGAACTAGAAACATTTATAGCTAAGTGGTTGCACATTGAGGCCATACTCTTAAGTGAAATAAATAGGACACACATCTGTAAATACCGAATAGTTTCTCTGGTGTGAAAAACTAAAAGTGTAAATAAGGATCAAAATGTATAACTGATATTGTGAAACAGGAAGAAAAGGTCTAAAGGAGTAGGGGAAGAGCGAGACATAGGGGACAGAAAAGAAGGGAAAAGAAAAAATACAGGAAAGAAAAAAATGGAAACAAAGTTTTTGTAAATAGGGAAGGAAGCGGGGGTTGAAGGGCGGGCAGGTGAACGGGGAAAAAATAAGAACCAAGATACATCATGTACAGGTACAAGATCCCAATGATGACTGTAACTGTATTGTATACCTAAAATGTACCAATAAACTTAATGAAAAAAAAGAATTTAATATTTTATTTTATTAATATTTTATGTTCCTGTCAACTAGACATTGTATAATACAATAAGAACCTCCTGACAAAACAGCCAGAACAGTGAGATCTCAAGTACGTCCTACTTTTGCCAGGAAAGCATAATACGTATGCTGTCAGTGTAAGTGATACTTGTGTATGGAACGTGCTGCTGTCATATGTGATGACTGTCTCAGGTGTGATAAATGAAGTAAAGATTTTTTTTGTAGAGTGCCATTGGTATTTTCATTGCATTTCACATAGGTTTTTATTTATTATGTTCTTTTTTAGACTTTGTACACCAAAAACAAGTCAAATGTTGAAAATTTTGATGCTTTTATATAAACACTCAATAAATATTAAAAATGCAATATTTTTGTAGGGGTTTTGCTATTAATTACTCACTTTAATATAAAACTCAAAATTTAAATTAATAATCATCAATATAAATATTCTAAAGAATGAACATGGGTTTGATACACCTATATTGTACCTTTATGACAAAAAATGTGTTATGTCCCCCTTAAAAGGCTTTGAATAAACTGATATTAATTCACATCCCAAAATGATAAGAAGAAACTGATGAAAGGCTTGTACACAGGCTGTGGGAGACCAGGGCAATGAAACAACTGCACACAATGGGGAACCTTGATTCGATCCTGAAACCAAAAAGCCACTAATGAGAAAGCTGATAAAGATCAAATGAAGTGTTTCTTCTGTATAACAGCACTGCATCAAAGTTAATTTCCTGTTCTGATTATTGGCACTCTGCTATATATAACATGTTACAACAGGGGAGGAATATTTATAATAACTCTGCAAATATTCTGTAACTCTGTAAGATCAAAGTTTTTTTTAACTATATATATATATATATATATATATTTTTTTTTTTGGTACCAAGGATCGAACTCGGGTCCTTGTAACTAATATATTATTCCATATATTCTTCCAGATATAGCGCATACATATATATATATATATACACATATATATATATAGTTACTTAGTACATGCTATTTAGCAAAATATTTTTTCACTCAACAATATAATTTTAAGATATATCATGTTGACATAGAGTTCAAATTCATTCCTATCAATTGCTTCTTTATATGACTATACTTCAATTATAGTATTGATGAACTTTCAGGTTTTTTCCAATATTACATTAGCTACATAATACAACCATGAAAATGTCACCTTTTACACACATATGTTAAGTTTTTTCTTATCAAGATATGGAACTTTTGGTTAACAAGGCACGTGCAATTTTAGGTTAATTAGTTTATATTAGTTAATTCTCCCCCAGAAATTGGCTATACCAATTCACAGTTCATAAGTATTACGTAAATATACCAATATCCCTAAAATTTCTCTAATAGTTGATCTCATGAGTATCTTATTGTTCCAAATGAGAAAAAGTAAGATTCAGCAACTTCTCATTTTCATTACTGGACTGTTTAATTTCCTTTTCTGAGAAATGTTTTTAATATGACTTGCACAATTGTCTAAAGGATAGTTGTATCTTTTTCTTATAAAGTGTTTACAAATTTTGGATATTCATCTGCTATCTCTTCATTTGTTGCTTACTATTTTGCTTCGAAATAAGCAGTTATTATTGTGTAAATATGTTAAATTTTTCATTAAGTCAAATCTGCTAGTCTTATTTTAATAGTTTTTGCATTTTTTTGTAGCTTACTAAAAGAAATAAGAATATTCTTTTTTTCCTTTAATGATTTTAATATTTGGTTTGTTTACACTGAGATTCCTGATCTACCTGGGATGCCTTTTAAGTTGGATAAGTGGAAGAGATTTTTGGCCCTGTGGATACCTAATTGTCCCAACATCATCTCCTTGGTAATTCAGCTCCCCAATCCCGACAGAAATTTACCATGCTCCCTTGATCATACATAAAAGATTATTCTATTTTTGTGTTTTTCCATTTTATGTCTTTCAAAATAATGTGCATTCTATAAAATTATGGCTGTGAATTTTTAAATCTGAGTATTAAATTGAAGTAGCGTTAGATCACGCAGTTGTGTGGGTAACGCTGCTGCTCATCACTGTTGCTGCCATATGCCTCTGATTCTGCTGTCTACAGAACAGAAATTTTATCTTGCATTTACAATAAGTAGAGATATCTTTCTCTTTTGTTCTGAAGTTTGTACTCTTTCCATCTATTACGCTGAATTAAATTACTCCCAGTGCCTGTCATCTACTCTGGACTGAAATCTTTCTAGGCACACAGGCCATATCTCAAACATTTGTGCATCGCAGTCCCCAGCACATCGCCTGGTCCACAGCAGACACTTAATATACTTTTATTAAATTCTGTCTCTCCTTTCGTGCAGTAGTTTTCAACATTTTTTGTTAGGAGAGATAATGAGAAGAAAGGGAAGATGAGCCATAGGATCACCGGTCCTTTGTGCCCTCCCTCTTGCTCAGAACACATTTTTTTAAAAACCTGCTTCATGATTATCACCTCCACGATCTGTCATTCACAAATGCCCCTAAAAGCCAAGCAAATTTCACTACAGTTCCACATTTTTAGAGAAAAAGAGTAAACACACATCACCACGTAAGAGGAAACAGAAGAATTAAACACACTGTGTTGGCTTTGCCTCCCTTCATTTGTCCAACAAATATTTGCTCAGTTCTCACTGTGCACACAGCAGGGAGTTAAGAACTGTGGGAAATACAGGTCCCTTCCTTAAGGGCATTCAGAAAGGAAAAAAGGAGAGAGAGACAGAGAGAGAAAGTGAAGCACCTAGAAGAGACTGACAGCCCACTCAAGTCTGACTGGACATGAAAGATGATTCTCTGGGTTCTTCTTTCCTATAGAAACAAAGAACTATTCAATGACAGTAGGGACTCTCATTTCCCAAATGCCAAAGCAAACTCCACTTTGCAAGGCCAAGTTATACTGTACCTTCAATCCTTTCACAGAGCTTATGCAGAGAGTGCATAGGGCAGGCCTCACACAGCTTGATCTGGGTCTTGGCACTCTGCAGGGCTGCAGCCGTGCTGAAAGCCTGCTTCAGAGTCAGCATGACCTCATCGACCTACAAGAAGGAACAAAATGCAGCTATACAAGTTGGCTTTCATGGAAACACTAAAAACCCAACAGCAATGTGAGCCTTTATGGATGCAGACTAAATAATAAATAATAGAATTTTGATGGCTACAGAGCTAGCAGAGAAAATATTAAGTCTGGAAGTTAGACCTTTCATCCATATAACTGAAAGCTGGGTGAAATAAGATTATTTCAGTGTGTGTAATGCAATATTCACCTTTACCAGGGTGCTATTTTCAAATTGCATGGAGGGCTACACTATCCCAGTCAGTTTAATTAGTAGACCAGGTTTTTGTTTAATTTAAGTTTATCAGATAAAGCCCTCTTTGGAAGTTTTGTCTGCCATATACAGTACAAAGAACAAGGAAATAGGTTTAACATTCACTTGTGTTACTAAGTATTCTTCTTGCTTTAATGTTCTAAGTCATTTTTAGTGTAAAACCAAACAAGATATTGTTGAAGTGACATTTGAGAGGAAACGAGTTCTATTTCAATGGCAGAAAATGACTATGAATATTGCTAGTCTTATCACTACAGCTTCAGATTTATTATGATTCCAATTCTGATTTATGGTACTAGAAAATGACATCACAGTGTCTGATAGCAAAGTCTCACCACCAGGCTAGGAGCTTGAAAACTGCCAACTGGTTTCTTTCTTACTTTTTTGTTGAGCCAGTCAAGAAATCTGAATGCAACCTGCTGATTTCATGGTTGCTTCTTTGAGACCAACTAACAGCTAGCTCATCCTTTGGCCCTGAAACCACATCAGTCTGCATGTCCTTTTCTATGACACAATCACCAATGTAAGATGTGATTTTTCCCACACACTGTGGAACTTAGATCAAACTCTAAAACCTATATGACAGAGCTATTGAATCCATGCTTGGAAAATCATTTTTTCTCTCTTTTTCCCCCTATATCCTGGTTTAAGAATAAACTATTATTTAAAGAATTTTATCTATTTCTCCATGTGAGTGTATGAGGAAACTGGAATAAAAAGAAACTTTACTCAATATTACTGAAAGCAGAGATCAAACACTAAGAAGTTCGCCTTCATTCTGATGTTTTATATTAGGAACCTTAAAAAGGCTTAAGAATAATTTCACAGCATTCCATAAATAAAAATAAATTATTCCATGTTATACTATAATTAAAAATAAAAACTTTTAATACTTAGAACTAAAGCACAGCATGTTTAATGTCTTCACATTTTTATTTCATTTGCCTTGTTATATATTCAAAGGCAATTTAATTATTTACACAGACGTTCATTTCTATTTTCTTGTTTTTCATTTATTTAAGATACTAAGAGTTAGTAACTGGCCTAGTAATATAAATAGCTTTCATAGAGGTTACTAGTTATTTAATAATTCTGCATTGTAAAAAGCCTCATGGATGTGCAAGCACAAGGACCCAAGTTCGATCCCTGGTACCAAAAAAAAAAGCCTCATGGAATTATTGAGTATTTGTGTTATCATCATTAATTCTCATTGAAACAAGAGGCTACTTCAATGGTGTCTAAAATACGGAGGACAACATCATCTGGCCAAAAATATTACTACAAACTTTATTTGATTAATAAAATGTTAAATGTTTTATTTTCCAAAATGTATCACTTTTTCCAGATGACCTATAAAGTCTATCATGACGTCAGTGTGACTAAAAGTTCAAATTAGTTCACTATAACTACAACAAGAAAAAAAATCATAGGTCATGTCAAAAAGTTAAAAGCAAAGTTATAAGCAAAGATAAATCAACTATATGCAAACAAAAACAAAGTATTCTTGGCACTGACATCCAGCAAAATTACATTCCCAGTAAAAAGCATGAAGTTAGACAAAGAAAGTTAATTTATGATAATAAAGGAGAAATCTATAATAAATATAACACTCATAAATATTATACACCAAACAGTATTATATAGCATTTTAGAATAAGTCTAAGAATCATACATGTGTAAAGACTTCAAAAGATCTAACTCTCTAGAAAAACTTAAAATTTCATACTATCTAATAAGGTATGGCCTCAATCCTATTTTAACACTTATTAACAACGACATGGTCTATTTCAGCTCTGTATGTGTTAGGTTTTTAAGCCCATGTACTACATTCTATACTGAGTGTAAGTTCTCACATGCCAAAGTTACATCGTACACTTCTTCTTGGGCTAAATGATGTCAATTATATTGTGTCTTTCTTCAGATGAGATACTCTTCATAGATTACTGCTTTTCTCTCAAGCATCTGCAACTTTTCATGTAAAACAAATCCCAAACTTGAACTTACGTCTTCACCTGCTATCCTTCTTAGGTTGCTTGTTCCTTAACTGTTAAGCAATTTACTTTTAAAAGTAGAATCCATACCACATATAAAAGAAAGATGTCCTACAATATCTACCTCATTCTTCATAAATACGCTAATATTTCATTTCTAATTAAATACCATGCTTATTTTATTAACTATTAACCTCATATAAATTCAGAATCTTATGTAGCACTAATTTTTTCTTTCCTCCTTTTCATTATATCTTTCTTGCCTATTTTTTCTCTGAATTTATGCCATTTAGATTTTGTCTACAAGTAGCTGTAGTTTGCACTTTGTTCCATACTCTTTAAATTAATTTTAGAGAAAGTACTTTTATTTATTTTTATTGTAATGTAATACAAGTAGATATTAATAAAAGATAAAAATGGTTCTATGAAAAAATAATTTTTCATAACAAAAATAATTGGAGAGTAACAGTGCTAAAAACAGTGTATCATGATTTTAAGAGAATATGTTTTCATCTGTTAATCTATCTATCTTTTCCTACAAATTTCAAGAGTTAGCTTAATAAGATTATTTTATTTTATTTTTTTTGGTTTTTTTGTTTTTTGGTACCAGGGATCGAACTTGGGTCCTTGAGCTTGCACAGCAGGTGGCAAAACCACTGAACTAAATCCCCGGCCCAATAAGATTAGTTTAAAAAGACCTGTGCCTGTATAGCTCTCAGAAGGAAGGAAGGAAGAAAAGGGAGGAAGAAAGGTAGAAATGGAGGGTGGGAGGGGAGCATTAAACATTTAAACTTCCTGTGTAACTCTCCATGGTCCCTCAGAACACTAATTTATACCAACTGTTACAAAGAAGCAAAAGAAAATGCTAACTGTGTGTTCTTGCTACCCAGAATAAGTGTCAGCATGTGTGGTTTTGCAGTATTTTCATCTTGTACAACTGCCAAACCACATCAATCATAACACTGCTTAGACCCATATTACTTATAATTGGCTATTTTGTTTTGTTCCATTTGTCATTTGTTTGAGCCATTCCCAATTATGCAGGAAATACACATTTTTTTCTTCTGGCTTGTAGTTCTGATGTCTCACGATTTAGGTAAGATGCCTACTGATAAAATGAAATAGGGTTTGAATGAGCCTTCTTAAGAACAAAGCCAAAGCTCAGAAGCCATACTGCTTCAAGTAACAGGAACTGAACGGTGTGCCCAGCCAGCACCGCTGAGTGCCTTGGTCACAGAGTATGGCAGGGAAAGGTAGCACGTCCCAGACCTTCTCCTGTGACTCCTATGTCCAAAACTCATTCTACAAGTATGGGGACAAAATGCAAACACTAAATACTCAAAATAAAATGAAACCCATAAAAGAGAATGAAAAAAGGAAAGTTTTACATAGTTTTTCTTTTAATGAAAAGGACACAGTGAAGATTGGCCAGCACCTGGAAGACAAATGCCTGGAGCTAAGAGCAAAGTCTCAAAATAAGAAAACATTAAGCACAGCCCAGAAACATAGCACATAAAAGACAAGGGCCAACTATGAACTTCCCAATCAGTGGAGTGGCCAGTTAAGTAAACAGATTAAAAAGCAGGGGGCTTGGTGGGAACTGAGAGAGACCTGTGAGCAAAGTGTTGGGAGAGCCCTGATGGAGGACAGTGATAGGACTCGAGGCCTGAGAAAAGGGAGTCAGAAAAGTCCTCCGGAGGATGAGACAATCCAGCTGGTCCTGAATAACCCACAGGAGAAGTAAAGAGGAAGAGTGTCCGAGTTATAGTAGGGCAAGGCCATGCCTGCTCTACTGCTGATGAAGCAGTAGGAAAGTAAAGGGCAGCAGAGGTCAACCCCCCTTGTTCAGTAACAGGTGACCCCTGGAGGCTGACCTGGCCCCATGGCCAGCCTTACAGAATGAAAGGCAGTGCACCCTGGTTCTGGCCTCCTCGGACAAGCAGTCTCCTCACTCCACACAGCAATCCACCAGGGGCCTTCACAGAGTTCCAGCTACTCAGAGAAGCCCTAGATCCCAGGCTGAGGTGCAGCTCAATGGTAGAATGCTTGCTTAGCATGCATGAGGTCCTGGGTTCAATCCCTAGCACTGAAAAACAAACAAAAACTCCTTGATTGTGCATGTGGCCCGTGCACTACTCTCAAATCTGCTGATTTCAGAAACAAACCAATATAAAAGCACCACTGCAGCAATCAGCAAACCAGGCTTTGTGGTTTGGCCCAGAGAGGAGCTTGTGAAATGGAACAACATATATGAAGACACAAACATGAAAAGGGCATGGCATGTGTTCTGCATGGAGGGAGTAACAGCACAAGAGGCTGGAGAAGAATGAAGGCCCACATGCTAGATAACATAGATGTTGTCCTTTAATAAGGAGGCACAAACTGAGCTCTGAAAGGAGATTTTGTGAGATATAAAATTCCAGCATAGTATAGACAATAAGCAGACGGGAGATTAAACCAGTGGCAGGAAGAGTAGTTAGGACACCATCACAAGAATTCCAGAACCAGGTCCTGAGGAGGAGAAGACGATGAGATGGATGAAAGAGACATTTCTCTCTTTAAATCAATAGGATTTGACAAACAACTGGACAAAGAATGCATTAAGGTTTCTAAATTGGAAAGCTGAGTGAATGGTGTTGACAAAATTTAAAAATATGGGATCAGTGATAGGTTTTAGAAAGGCAGGGCAGTGTGGGATCCAGAACATGGTAGAAGAACCAGACTTACCAGAGAGATGAAGCAGCAAAGGAGTGATGTGTAAGCAGTACGGATGGGTGGGGAATGCAGCCCCAGCGACAGAGTATCCTAGACTATGCTTTACCAGAATTTACTTGGCTGGCATTTCCCAGTGTTGTATCATTGATTTTTTTTTTTTTTTTGCTTTCTTTCTCTTTCCTCCCTCTGGGTGTTCATTTACCTCCATTCCTTCTACTATCATTATCTAGTGACCACTTTCAAATCTCTATCTCAAGACTTAAACTGAACCTACTTAGGAGGAGTCATCTGGACACCAACAGGTGGATATGTCATAGGTATAGTTAGTTATCTAGAGGGAAAATGGAACTCCCTAGAATAAGAAACTACTGGGGACAGAAGTATTATATAATCCTTAGAGAAAAAGGCAGAGCTCCAGAGGGCACTAGTCAAAAAGTGCCTTTGTTCCCATCCATACCCACCCCTTCATTATTCCTAACCCAAGTGTCCTCGAGGGAAATGCGGAAGGTGAGAGTTAAGCAAGGGTGACTGTAATACGTACCAAGGAAACAAGGACAAATGCTCCTGGCTTGTGTGCATATGTCTAAGTTGGATGTGTTTCCCTGTGAGAAATGGTGGCAGGAGGGTTATGTGGCTAAGAAAATAGTTTTCTGTAAATTCTTCAAAGAATGGCAATGTATATATCTGAGGGTTTGAATTACAATGATTGGGAGGATAGGACAGGCAGACAAGTAAGTAAAAACTTTGAAGAAAAAAGAAATTAACATAATTATTAGTCAAATGTATTTCCAAGTCTGTCTTATGTATTTCTTCCAAATTCCAATTGCTCTTATAATAAAAGACAGGAGAGGGAAATACTGGAAAGAAGTGACTTTTAAATATCAAAGGAAGGAACTGAAAGTTAAGAAAAGACCACAAAGAATAAAAGATTATAAAACTAAGTACAGGGGCTAATGAAATTAAGAGAAAAAACAAAGTAGTTCTTTATTCTCCTGAAATGTTTGTTATAGCAATTAAGAAAATAACAGATCAATGGCCTTTCTTATTTTCTTCTTTGAGCAATGAGAAAAGTATTGGCTTTTTTTCCTATTAGTCTTTTCCTACCTTTTAAAAATATTCATGGTAACCTGACTGGGTTTGTTCATCCTGAGAAAGAATCTAGGTACTTGCCATGACAATTTGTTTCTATTTTTCTACTTTTGCACTACCTTGAGGGGTAAAAACATAACCCTAATGCCCCCCTTTTCCCCCTGTGAGGCTTGGGTTCACAGAGAGGAGTCCTTTGAGATGGATGTGTTGGCAGCAGTACGCAGACAACAAATGCACCACTTACCAGGGACTCGCTGGCACACTGGAACACATAACAAATGTACTGGCTCAGCCCCGGTTCTGGGGACTCCCGACAGATGAAGCCAAAGTGATCAACATGCTTTATACCCTGGATTAGAGGAAAGAAGGGCAATACAGCATTGATGGGAATATATCCATTCAACAATATGAGAAATCAACATCAATTCTATGTATTTCTACGTACATCTAAGTACATCAGTTCTATGTATTTCTTCTTCACAGCAACGTGATAGGGGACATAATGTCATAGCAAACTTACAGGATGGTCTGTTGGTATGTAAGATAAAGAGTGAGACCAATTTAGATTGTTTTGTTTCTGATAAATACCCTGTGACTCAGGGCCACAGGAGAAAAAAATATTGATGGCGTGATATACTGTGTCTTGTAATAAAACCACTACTCCATGTTTGTAAGTAATTGAGTTTTCAATTTACTATCTTCTTAGAACACCAGTCAGATGATTTATCACAAACCCTGTTCTTGTCTACAGGAAGCTAAGAATCTGAGAAAAATTACAACTGATAATACCTGAATTAAATGCCATGCAATTCCCTAAGGTTGCATACAACAACAGACTGTCTATTCTATTTATAGACATTTAAAAAGCCACACTGTTGAAAGATTGGTATGTTTAAAAGTATGATTGCAAGTGACAATTATCCACATTCACAAATCATTGTATTTGCTGGACTCAGGCTAAATAATTTCAGCTATATTTAATAAAAAATTTATTATTTGTGATTTTCATTTAGTCTGAATACATACATACCAATAAATAGGCACTGTATTATTGTAAAAGAAAGCACAGTGCATATTTTGTAAAGTCAGGTAAGCAATGCAATTTTAAAATGCCCTATAATCACCAAAATTTAAGTGAAAAGAGACTTTCAAATCTCATTTGTGCTTAAATCTTGGTTCAACAAATCTGCTAGGCATGATAAACTGTGCTAGATTGCTAATAATTATCTTTGTGGCTCCACTTTTCATTATAAAATAGCAGTAATGGAACCTGTTATGTGGGATTTAGAACTAACAAATACCTATATGACAGTCCCTGGAATGTTTTATAAATGGTAACCACTTGTCTTGTCATAACAATCTCAATCTATGCAGTGGATATGGAAAAAGGAAATCAACTCTGGAAGAAAGAATAAGGAGGAATAAGTCTGCAATTCATAAATTAAAAATAAGCTCAATCTTGTACAACCCGGTAGTGACTAAAGAATATTTTTACTAGTTTAATAATAAATGGGAAAAATTCAGAGGACTTCATCAGCTCAGCTAGTCTTCCAGGTGAGAGCAATGTTTCCAGGAAAGAAAGCCACACCCTACTCTCCATGCTTGCCAGGAAAGCAGTCATACTAATTTTGAAGAAAGAAACATTTGTAGTTGTACGGTATTCCAAAGCAGGCCTGTTCCTGAATACAGCCACACTGTGCTGTGTATCAGCCCAGTTTTCTGTGGAAAGAAGTTAATAGGAACAGAGCTACTGAGTGAGAGAGGGGTCCCAGGCTCAAATGATCAGTATTCTGCTAGGAGGTCTCTCCACCAATTTCCTCCATACTTTCCCTTAATTTCTGAACCAGAATACCAAAATGTACAGTGTGCCTTTAATAAAAATTAAAAGGAAAAGCAAAAATCTTTGCTTTGAACTTCCAGTTTTATACTTGGTTTGGCTGCATCTTCCTTTTTTTTCTTTGTGGTGTTCAATGGCATTGTCTGTTTTCTTACTGGGAGGTACGGGGAATGTAGGGGCAGGAGGTATTGCATTTTAAGGATGTCTCTTGGTGCTGGGGGTAGGAACAATATTTGATTTATACATATTTGTTTCCAGCGCATGGCACCAGGCCCCATAAGCAGAATGGCCCCATTCACTCAACATTCACTGAGCACCTAAGGTTTAAATTCCATGTCAGCACAGCTGATTCTAATGCACCACAGACTAAGATAGCTGCCCTCGTAGAGTTTATAACCTTGCAGAAACCCTCAGCAAACATGTAATTATAAGAATGATTAATACACATTTTTTCAGGTGAATAATCTTTCTACCAAATTTGTACATTGAAGTAGAACTTTAGAAATTTACAATATATTCCTCCTGTATTCAGATGTAGTCACTAATTCACCAGAGAATGCTTATATATACACCATAATTTTGTCTTTACATAATTGAAAGAAAATATTAGAAATGAAACTCTATTACCTGAGACTGAGTTAAACAATAGACAAGATATACAAAAGTTCTCATCATCTTTGAAGGGAAAAATGTCTGAATATCATACCTATTGCAATGCTAACTCCAGAATTTGAGAGGAAAAAGAAGAGGAGAAGGGAAGGGAGGGGCCTGAAGAGGAGGGAAAGAGAGGAAAGAAGAGTGGAAAGAAGAGAGGAGGGGAGGGAGGAGAAGGCAAAGAAGGACAAGAGTTAATAAATAGTCATGATTTTTCAACATTAAAATATAGGCAGAGACTTCATCAAGGTCTAGTCCCTTCAAGGTACATAAAGTCAGTAGGCCAAAAAAGAAATTATTCTCAATTCCAGGGACCTACTCAGAGGCATCTTTGCATACATAACACTCTCACATTTGGATTTCGATATTCCTCTATTCTGGTTAATTCAAAATGTCTTGCTTTGTTCACAATATATTTAGGTAGCTCTAACTTTTGGGTAGATATTCTAAAATATCACTATGGTCCTCGGATATTAGTTTATACCTAACATTATAATTTACACACATTCACTACACTAGTTATTTTTAAAGCACTTAAATACATAGTTGGTGAATTAAAAGAACAAAAATATCAAAACATTTTCAAACCATGGATGTATATTAAATAGAAGTTCAGACACGAGTTCCCCATTTACTATCTGCTCTGGGTATGACTCAGTTACTGCCCAAGATTCTGAGGAACGGTAACTGGGAGGTATTTTCAAAAGAATTCTCCACCACAAAAATTCCACTTGTGGAAGGCATCTGACGAAGTGTCATTACAAAGGGAAGGAACTGACCAAAATGAAGACAGAATCTTAGGAGAGATGCGGAGGGTCCTGGGTAGGATTTTGTTACAGTCATATACACAAACACATGAACAAATTTTAATTTATAAACCAATTTTCTTTAATAAAAATAAAATTTTAGAAATATTAAAATTTGAAGGATGGGGCTGGGGATTTAGCTCAGTGGTTCTGCCACCTGCCTTGCAAGTGCAAGGTCCTGAATTCGATCCCCAGTACCAAAAAAAAAAAAAAAAAATTGAAGGAGTTTACACCCTATTGTTTCGTGGTGAATTGTGGAACCGTTGTTTTGTAGTTAATTGGTCCTTTAAATACTACAATATAACTCAATACATACCTGGGAACAAGATGAGATATCTTTAAAATTCTTTTCTAGCACAACTGATTTAGTGTCTGGACTGATAAGGTTAATCTCAAATCGTCCAACCTTAAAAATAAAAGTATGTCAATTTTAACTCATTAGGACCTAACATCTTACTATTTATAATTATATATTCAATGAATAATATCTCACTTTACAATTAATATTCAATATTTACAAAACTCCGCAATACCCAACTAATAAAATACTCAGTAATTAAATACCTAAATGCCATATTTTAAATAGACCTATTTCACATGTGCTCCATCCAACACCCGATCCAACAGAAAATGTTAACTCCGAATATCAGTTGTCTCAAAACATTTCTTGCCTTTGTTGAGAAATCACAAAAATTAAATTGGTCTTAAATTATAAGATACAAAAGAGATACTTTTCTCAAAATAAAAATGACTTCAAAAAAGCAGGCAACCTATCTTCACTTCATGATTTCCAAAAATAACAATTATGTATTTATGTTATAAACATACTTTCTCTCAAATGGTCAATTAATAGCAGTGACTATAACAAGCTAAGAAAAATAATCTGATAGCTCAAAGAAGAGAAAAAATTCTTCACCACAGAAAAGACCACAGACACTTTAATTACATACTTAGTGTTAATCACAAAACAAAACAATAACAAAAAACATGAACTTCTGACAAAGCAAATATACCCTGGGACTGTTTACCAAGATACTGTATGGTGTGGAATTTCCTTCTCAGGGATTCTTTAAAACAGAATAAAAGGTCAGTCATTTATTTTTTTCAAGAAAACTCACATGTTACAAGCTGAAGATCAATGACTCTCTACAGGGCCTGGTTATGAATTAAGATCTTTAAGTAGAACTTGATGTTTTCTATACACTCTTGTGTCATTTTAAAAAATTATTTTTAGAATCAAGAATTATCTTTTATGTTCATAATTGTATACCTTACATCAAATTATTCAGTAAATGGCCTGGTAGATTAAAAGACCAGAGATGAACCCTTAACCTTCCCTCTTGTGTGCCACGGTAAATTGGTGTATTCCCATCTGAAAGACAACTATGAAAAGTCTCTGGAATTTTCCTTTTTCTCCCTAAAAAAAAATCCTTTTTATCTCCATGACAAATCACACTGTCTTAGATTCACATCTCTACATTCTTTCTGACAGAGGCTTTCTAGAGTTATTTGTTTAAAGGCATTTATTTAAGAATCGGCTCAAGGTAAATGCAGATGGCAGATACCAAGAGTATCTGTCATACACTCATTCACAGATATTAAGGGTAATCTTCTATCCCTAGTCCTTCCATCAACTTTCTCTGCTGCTCCTCTAATTGCTTTTGCTTTTTCCTGCTCCACCTGCCTTGAAAGCTGGGTTTTTGGTTATGGCTACACTTTGGGTTATGGGGTGATCAGGTGGAGGAACAGGGAGCACACACACATACACC